GCGGCAGCGGCGGCGGGGGCTTCCATGGGATTGGGAGGATCTGGGGGAGAGCTCGGGGTCGGGGTCGGGGGTCGGCTGGCTGGGGGCGGGGGCTGGGGGTTGGGGGTCTGGGAGAAGGGAAACTGAAGGGGTTTTGTTTGTTGTTGTTATTTCCAAACCTGGGCGGAACGGAGAGGGAGGGGAGGGAGGGTCCCCCGGCGAAATGCGCTGATGCTACGGTTTTTGGATGCCGCAGATTTATCTTTTCATTCTTTTAGTAGAAAAAATGGAGAAGAAGTCTCAGTGTGGGGTTTAACCCTCCCTCCCCAGCCCCCAATGTGCTGTCACAGCCCATAAACCCTCATGGCTATTTCCGGGCGCTGCGGTGTGGGTCCCGCTCAACAAGGAACAAACAAACAAACAAAAAAGAAGCCAGTCTGTGTGTTACTAGTTCATTTGCTACCGAAAAACTACATGTGTTTTTTGCTGCATGAGTGAATGAATGAGTGAAAAAATCATATATTTTTTTTGCGGGGTAATGAGTGAAAAAATCAAGCTGCACGCTCTGGCCTCCGGTGACGCTGGCCCTCGCAACGGCCTCTGGGCGCTTGGACTTTCTGGGCGGATGCTCGGCCGGTCTCACGCGGAAAGTAGGGTGGGTCTAGTATGACCGTGTGGTCATGTCATCGCAGCGGCAGCGGGTCATCGGGGGACGCGGGGGGAGAGAGACGACGGCATAAAGCGCACGCGACATGCAGGAGGGAAGCCGGGCGCGGGCGGGCGGGGGTCCGTCCGTCCGTCCGTTACAGATGGCTGCCGCACAAACACCCACCGGCGGGCGTCCACGTTTGCCAAACAGCGTCGAGAGAGAGAGAGAGAGACAGGGGGGGCCTTTCACGAGAAGGGGAGGGGCACGCCGGAGGACGGCCGCTCCTTCAGTCAAGCTGCGTCGTGGGACGGGGCGAGCCCAAACCCTACTTCTGCCTCAACATTGCCAAAAGGAGCAGAGACCGTAGGTGCGTCTTACCGGGAACTGTAGCTGTATTTTACCTTTTGGTTGCCTGATTTTACACCGTTTTCTCTTTACGTTTTCTCGTGTGTAATTTTTATTCAAGCCTGTTTACATTTATCAAATGCATCTTGACTCCTACTTTTTGTTTATTTACACAGTAACATTTATTATGTTTGATAGTCTATACCAGAGGTTATGAATATACTTTTATGTAGTACATTGTTCCTCCGTTATCCGGTAGGAGTGGAACCTGACCAAATATTGACCGTAAAAAAAAGGTGCTCCCTCCATCCCATAATATAGTGTGCATTGGTTTTACCGCAAGTCAAAATTTATAAACTTTGATAATTTATCATGAAAATTATCTATATCTAGAATACCATATGAAAATATACTTTGTGATGAATCCTAATGGTATTAGATTGACTTTAGCCTAAATAATGTCTTATATTTTGTTACGGAGGTAGTATCTTGTATGTTGATATTTTTCCTATAATCTTGATCAAAGTTTACATGGTTTGACTTAAAAAAACGTTAAGAAAAACTATATTTCAAAGCGAAAGGAGTATATTATTGCTTGAAATTATGTACACGTGGTGCATCAGCGTGACTTAGAGCATCTACAATCACGATTAGCTAATCCGAGCCCCCATACGCCCGCGGAAGCGTCCGAGCGCACCCGCTGGCAGTGACCGGGAAGTCCTCATCCCCCCTATCTACAACTGTAGCCCCCCTATCCAAATACCCAATTCCATACAATGCATGCAACAACGTAGGTCAAGATCGAGCGACATTGATGGCATGTTCATGAGACATGGTTTGAGACAAAAGACATTATTCGCTGGAATCTACTACATACAAAATATCCATATAGATAGCTAATGTCGTCGGAGAGGCGGAGATCACCATTTTGGGCCCTTACCCTTGCGGCTGGCGGCGCGACGGTCCATCTGCTATGTGTACGCGTCCGCGACGGGAGGGTCGTCGTCGTTTGTGCTGGTGGTGACGCTCTCCAACGCCGACGAAATGTAGCCGAAGAGGTGGTGGAGGAGGCGTTCCTGCTCCTTTGGGTGACAGGCGGCCTTGGCGGCGGCGGTCTCCTTCTCCCGCGAGATGCTCGGACGCCTCGAGCCCGAGGCGGAGCACCTTCATGTCCTCGCGTCAGAGGCACCGCGTGTCGGACTCTGCCGTGGTCAGCGACCTACGCATGACCTCATGGAGGAGCGCCTCCCTCGGGTCGACTGGGATGTAGCGTGCTCGTTGGTGGGAAGATCCGGACTCCGCCGCGGCCGCCGCCCACTACTGCTCGTGCCGAGCCTCCTTTGCCTCTGACTCTGGCGTGCGCATCCGCATGGGAGCCGTGGGCACGAGCACCCAACGTTCCAGGGTGCTGATGGTGCTGGAGGAGAAGGGTTGCACCTGCCCTGCTCCGGATCTGGAGCGGGGCGGGCGGGCGTGACAAGCATTCCGCCAGCGAGACCCAAAGGAGCTAGCGGCGGACGCGGCGGAGCTCCTCATTATCCAGCACGTCGATGTTGGAGCCTGTGTCCTCCTCCTTTACGAGGTCGTTTCAGTCCAGAGGATCGGGTTCGCTGCCGGAGTCTTGCCCGGACTTGGCCATGGGCCTCGCTAGAAACTCCCCAGCGAGGCCATGCTGGGTCGAGCCACCTCGAGCGCACGCGGTGGGTCCCGTTGGACGAGTGAATACATGAGGGATGCAAGCTATGTATGTGGTTTCCTTTCCTACCTCCACTAAACTCCTCCCTAATCCCCTTTGTCCGTCCCTTCTGATCTACACAACGGTACTTTGATTCAAGATAAGGTCTATACGAAAAAGATGCACATCGACGTCACGATTCCATTCAGGCGATTGATTCATAGTTTCATCAACCGTAGAGGCGAGGTGGGCTTTCGGGGCGGCCATGGCATCCTGTGTGCCTGTGAGAACATAAGAGAAGGGGAATATTAGAGAGGAGTAGAGGGAGAAGAAGCAGGGGAGAGAGGGGAGAATGATAGGAGGAGGGCGGGTGCTACTTCTTGAGCTTGCGTTGATTTTTCCCTTGAAGAGGAAAGGGTGATGCAGCAAAGTAGAGATAAGTATTTCCCTTAGTTAAGAAGCAAGGTATCAATCCAGTAGGAGGCACAAGCAAGTCTCCAGTCTATGCACCCGCACAAACTAACAAATACTTGCACACAACGTGAAAAAGGGGTTGTCAATCCCTTGATGGACATGAACAAGAGTGAGATCTAATAGTGAGATATAAAGCAAGTAAAAAGTAAATAAAATGAAGAAAAGTATTTTGTGTTTTTGGTCTTATAGATCTGAAAATATATGATGGAAAATAGACCCGAGGGCCATAGGTTTCACTAGAGGCTTCTCTCTCGAAGAAAGCAAACAGTGGGTGGACAAATTACTGTCGAGCAATTGATAGAAAAGCGCAAAGTTGTGACGATATCTAAGGCAATGATCATGAATATAGGCATCACATCCGTGACAAGTAGACCAAAACGATTTTGCATCTACTACTATTACTCCACACATCGACCGACTCCTGCCTGCATCTAGAGTATTAAGTTCATAAGAACAGAGTAATGCTTTTAAGCAACATGACATGATGTAGAGGGATAAACTCAAGCAATATGATATAAACCCCATCTTTTTATCCTTGATGGCAACAATGCAATACGTGCCTCGCTACCCTTACTGTCACTGGGTGAGGACACCCAAGATTGAACCCAAAACTAAGCACCTCTCCTATTACAAGAACTACCAATCTAGTTGGCCAAACCAAACCAATAATTCGAAGAGAAATACGAAGATATAAAATTATGCATATAAGAATTCAGAGAAGACTCAAATAATATTCATATATAATCTGATCATAAATCCACAATTCATCGGATCTCATCAAACACACCGCAAAAGAATATTACATCAGATAGAACTCCAACAACATCAAGGAGAACATTGTATTGAAGATCAAAGAGAGAGAAGAAGCCATCTAGCTACTAGCTATGGACCCGTAGGTCTATGGTAAACTACTCACGCATCATCGGAAGGGCAACAAGGTTGATGTAGAAGCCCTTCGTGATCAAATCCCCCTCCGGTAGAGTACCGGAAAAGGCCTCCAAATGGGATCTCACGAGGTCAGAGACCTGCGGCGGTGGAAAAGTGTTTTCGTGGATGCTTCTGTTGGGGAACGTTGCAGAAAATAAAAAATTTCCTACGGTTTCACCAAGATCAATCTATGAGTTCATCTAGCATCGAGAGAGAGGAGTGCATCTACATACCCTTGTAGATCGAACGGAAGCGTTCAAGAGAACGGGGTTGAGGGAGTCGTATTCGTCGTGATCCAAATCACCGGAGATCCTAGCGCCGAACGGACGGCACCTCCGCGTTCAACACACGTACGGTCAGCGTGACGTCTCCTCCTTCTTGATCCAGCAACGGGGAAGGAGAGGTTGATGAAGATCCAGCAGCACGACGGCATGGTGGTGGATGCAGCAGGGATCCCGGCATGGCTTCGCCAAGCGTCTGCGGGAGGGAGAGGTGTAGCAAGGGGGGAGGGAGGCGCCAAGTGCAAGGGTGCGGCTGCCCTCCCTCCCCCCTCTATATATAGGGTCCCCAGGGGGGGCCGGCCCTAGGAGATGGGATCTCCTAGGGGGGCGGCGGCCAAGGGGGGTGCCTTGCCCCCCAAGGCAAGTGGAGGCGCCCCCTCCCCTAGGGTTCCCAACCCTACGCGCGGGGGGTCCAAGGGGGGGGCGCACCAGCCCACCAGGGGCTGGTTCCCCTCCCACTTCAGCCCATGGGGCCCTCCGGGATGGGTGGCCCCACCCGGTGGACCCCCGGGACCCTTTCGGTGGTCCCGGTACAATACCGGTGACCCCCAAAACTTTCCCGATGGCCGAAACTCGACTTCCCATATATAATTCTTTACCTCCGGACCATTCCGGAACTCCTCGTGACGTCCGGGATATCATCCGGGACTCCAAACAACTTTCGGTTTGCTGCATACAAATATCTCTACAACCCTA